ACTCTAATGGGACCTGTGACGCAGTTTCTTGGTTCAAAAGAGTTCTTATTTAATTATACACGCAGAAAAGAAATCGTGAAAGAACAACACTGACACAGCTTCTTCTATGTTATTTCTATTTACACTCCGAATCAGTCAAGCATCTGTCAGCAGTGATCATTACTTTAAAGAAACACTTGCACACAAAGTCAATACTTCAACCAAAAACTGTGTATCTGAGAAGGGTTCAGTACCCACAGATGCCCAGCTTAATTTAAGTCTTTCATCGATTTGTTTGCTCTATGGAATTGCATTTAGTTAGTTAGCAATAATGGAGCTGCTCTCTGACTGAAACTACATTGTATTCGGGGATTATAAACATATTGAACTCCTGAGGCCTCAAGTGGTTTTGAAGCCACAGGTGTTTTGGCCAGATGACTGTACAGCAGTTACACAACAGCAGGAGCTCTTAACACATATAATCAGAATCATGAGTAAAGCAGCGTGTGTGTGAGTGCGTCTATGTGTACATAAGCATGCAGTACAGGTTCGACTGTAAAGATTACAGACACACTGCTGGGTCTCTGAGCTGACAGTGATATTGCGTCTTACTCCAGCAGACGGTGCAGGGTGGGGCTCCTGTGCTGAGGAGCAGGGGCCAGCATCAGCCTCACTGAGCGCGATGTGCAACTGCTCCATTTTTCTAACTTTTTCTGCTTTAAAATAGCAAAGCGCTCAAAGCCAGTGAAGTCACAGTATGTACGATGAAAGACAGATGTATTGATAAAGCAGACTTTTGAGGCATGCACGGACAGGCAGAAGCTGAATGCCTAGAGCTGCAGATAACAGAGACTGTAACTTTCACTCAAGAGCTCTGGACCAGCCAGCATTAAAAACTCTCAGAATCCCTGCTGATCAGCTTCATTCACGATCCTCTCCTCTCCTCTCTGCAGATTGCTTGAGGAAAAGCACAGAATTCACTTCTGAATCCTCTGCCACCAACTAGAAACCAATCAAAAGCTCTGGCTAATCACAACACACTGATAAATACTTGCAATTCAACGCTGTGATCCACCTCAGAGCAACAGTGGATAATGTGTGTGAGTCAATCTGGCATGACTGTGTTTACCACATGTGTATGATTCATTTTTCCCCTGCCCTGTTGTTTTGTCAAAGCGACTACAGCAATTTAAGGTTATTATTACATTATATATGTGCTGATCTACATCTTTATAAGAGAAATATGTGAATAAATGGTGAAAAAAGGTGAAAATGTTAAATCTTAACACGTCACACACCTTTTTCACCACTTTGATACAATCCAATTACCTAGACAGCCTAGCTGCAGCTTCACTCAAACAGCTGATAACTTTCTTAGCTGTGTTTGTTGTTTTTGTCCTGTGGTTCAGTACGTCCTCCTCTATCTGATCCATTTGAGCTCCCCTTTCACACAGCTGATTAGCAGGAAAGTAGACTCAACAGTAAGACGTTGGTTTCTCAAGAACTGGCAGGAAAAACCCTCTGAGGTCTGTCCAACAAGACATTAATGGGGCATCCTAGAGAGCCAGCAGGCTCATGTTTGCAACATTATCCTCCTGTGTACAACAATGCACTTACAGATACAGGGTTGTACTGGGTTGTCTAGCTGCAGGGTGTCTCCCAAGGTTTCCTGTTAATCTACATACTGGGTACTGGAGAAGGAAGAAGGTGGAAACTTCACTTTCAGACCCATGAACCACACACACACATACACACACACACACACACAGCAGGAATACATTTTTCACATATATCATGAGACTGCAGAGAGATGCCTAGAGGCAGATAATATTAATGATTTCATATGAAATGATGGGCCTTTGCTGAAAAGAGCATGATAATATATTTCTACTTTCTTCTATAATTTTACATAAATTACAATACGGATGATTGAACGCATTAAATCTTCCCAGAATCATTAAAATGAGGGTGCACATTGTTGATGGGTAACCTCACGTCTCAGCTCATATCCTCTTGTTTTATACTGTAGAGTTGGTGTAATTCAGTATCACAGAGAAACGCTCAAGAAAGCTCAGTATCACTGTGTACACTAATAAAAGAAAGACCAACTTTCATGTTGACGCAGCTTTAAATTTATGATCGGAGATATGAGTGACATTTTTACAAAAGGTTTGCTTTTGACCTCTGGAGACACATGATGACATTAGAGCCTTTTTTTTTAATTATTGTTAGACCAAAAAAGCTTTCAAGGAATTTGTCAAAAATGGTAGAAACAGGACACTGTGATAGCTTACAGGCACTGATACTGTGTTCAGAAATGGGCATACAGACTCTAACAGAAGGGACATTCATCCAAATAGGGTACATTTGAACTTATAATAGTAGAAATGCTGTTCGGCGAGTGCTTTGATCTTAAGAGCCACAATATCATGGGTGCATGACAGAGTGGGAGAAGTTGAACCAATTCCTCTCACAAAGGCACCATCGTTCAGATTATTCCGAAGTGGGCATTCGATTTAGCTGCCATGATAGTGTGAGTTCTGCTCAGAATGGCAGGCACAGAGCTGCTGGACTCTGTATGCACCACAGTGCCTCCAAGCAGCGATGACACAACAACATGTAGCTTTGTGAGGTGTAATGTTGGATGCAGGCGCTATCTGTGAACAGTAAGAGTCCTGGCTGAAATGTGTGCCGCATATAAATAACCTCTGTTTTTGTCACTTGGAATACGTTGTGTAGATTTTCTCTGACTCTCTTGACGCATCTGCAAGATACTATTATCGCTCTGATTAATGAATGAATGAATGAACGTACAAACGTGTGAATCACACTTTGAACATAACTCCCATGGAGGAGCATTTGTCCATATTTGGAAACTGTCCAACATTGTTACGTAATTAAATTCACAAGCTTTCCAGTTCACCTATCTGTTGCCAAGAGAAGAAAAAAAGATGAAAAGGTAAAGGAACAATAAGGAACCACTAAGGAACTTTTAATGACACAATCAGGAGTTGATGGCAAGGGCAATCTTCAGTTATTTTTTATGTAAAGTCGGTACGCCTCGAGTGCAAGGTTTGTTTCATGACAGCAATGGAAAGTCATTAAATGCCTTGACTCTTTCAAAGTGGAGGAAGATGTGATGGAAAACAACACTTTACCTGTGCAGCAGCCCCTTTGTTTAAACAGATTAAATCTCTGTGTAAAGACACCAGTCAGCTGCAGCCGATCATCCAGGCTGCATATTAATTCCTGCCTGCAATCCAACTCCAGAGAAAGTTACTTATCACGGGTTTGTCACTTTGACCCCGTAACAACCTCAAACATACGCATAGACACACACACACACACAGGCACAGAGAGAGAGAGAGAGAGAGAGAGGGCTATCAGCCTAATGGAAAAGTAAAAGGACTGCTCTGGTTGACTGGAGTAAAGCAAACACAGAGAGACAGATAGGACAAGACAAGAGACAGGTGGAATACACACAGGGCGTTCACACACACTAATATACACACACAACCAAATCCAGGAGGGTAATAGAGGCAGTGTACTGTGCACACAACCACCCACACAGAGCACTTAATACATACACACAGCAGGATACACTGGCCTACATTAACAAACATACACAGTAAACACAACCTGGATGTTCCCTCAACATAAAAAAAA